GTCTTATGTTAGTTGTAGTGTTAGCTAGGAATAAATGCATGTCTTTTACACAACTTCAGCCTCCGTTCATTGAGTGCTCACAATAGTCCCTGCCTCTGTGTGATCTTGCTACATGCTCTGAAACCTCAAACTCGCCTGAAATATCGCGAGACTCTCTCTCAACGGCCGTGAGGGGGGCTTCGCTACCGATACTTATAGCAGGCATTACCTGGTGATGCAGCTAGCTGGACGAGCCTTCTAACACAGGTTACTAAGTGATACTGGTAATTAGTGAATCCCATTTAAGTCTCACATTAACAGACTCACGTGGATATCGCAATCGAGTTTGGAGGAACCAACCATTCGGCATAACGATTGGGCAATAATTGTCATTAAATAATAATTAAATAAACTTTAATTAATTTCAAACGTATTGGTGGAGATATTAAAATTTTCCTGAGCTAATAATTCCTACATACTGTAAGCTACACTTTGCCTGTTTTCCTTGCATCATGCTGTCCTGCTTCTGTCAATCCATCTCCCCTCTAATCCCCAAATTAATTTCTGTTCCTTCCACCTATCATCGTGTATCTTGCTTTTGTTTAAGGTCAGACTACACCCTGGACAGGATGCCAGTCTATCACAGTGTACACATACACTACTGGCATTTCAGAGGCACCAAGCACTGCACATATTTGTAATGTGGGGGTTAGAGTATGTGGAGGAAACTTGCATGACATGGAGGGAACTTGCAAACTCCACACAGAGACTGGCGGGGTGAGAGGTCCAGGGCTGTAGCACTAAATTTTGGGGTCCTTCCCTCCTACCATATCCTCTCCTAAGGAAATAAGTGTACGGAAACATTTATAATGTATTTACTATGGGGTCATTCCATACCAAATCTCCCAGAGGGTCCTAGGTCTCACACTCAGATTTCCCTGAAAAAAAAAATAAAAATACAGGTATTCGGATACCAAAGTTATGGGGAATCTGTATCTCTAATAGTTTTGAAACTAAAGTATGTAAAATATTATGCATTTTGTGCATTCCCGTTTCAGTCCAGCTTCCAACATTCATAGCTGACATGGAGCGTACAGCTTTGAAACTTTGCAACTGGGGCTACATTTGTGTTTAGAATTCAAAAATGTATCAGATCAGCTGT